TGCCCATAAGGTATTTGGTTGTACAAACAGTGGAAATTGTACTTATTGTCGCCGACCACATGGATTACAATAAGTGTGGTAATTCTGTTCTTTAACCTTCGCTTTATTTTGGTTGTATTTGAAAGGAATTTCAATAGGAACAATCATTGCGAAATGTATTTATCAAAAATATTTCCAAAAAAAAACCGATTTGGGTTCTAGATACCCCCTGCATATTTTTTTATGGGGGGAGGGGGTAATTCAGAGTTTATGAGGTTTTAAAGAGTATCTTATTATACAGATTTGATGAAGGGTACAAGAGTATTTTATCCCAGAGTTTATGGGGGTTTAAATAGTATTTTATTCCAGAGTTTATGAGCGTTTAAGGGATATTTTAAGGAATATTTAATTCCATAGTTTAAGAAGATTTAAAGGATATTCTATTCCAGAGTTTATGAGGGTTTAAGGGGTATTTTATTCAAGAGTTTATGAGGATTTAAAGAATATTTTATTCCAGAGTTTATGAGCGTTTAAGGAATATTTTATTCCAGATGTTATGAGAGTTGAAAGAGTCCATGAGGGTTTAAGGAGTGGTTTATACCAGAGAATATGCATATTTACAATGTGTCACGTAAAACATACGTGAATAAGATGCAGTAATAAGCAAACAGGCTAATAAAAAACTGTTTCACCATTTTCATATCACACGTAACCATAAAAATAACCGGATTCAATTTATTAGGTGGAAGCAAGAAACGCCAAACCGTATACATTTCTTTAACATTAGCATTTAACTTTAGATTTTAAATTAATTCTAAGAAATTTGGTCGTTTTTTAGGGTGTAGAAAACGAGATACATTTGTAGTAGAGAAGAGTAATATTGTTACCACCCACCAACCTTTCATAACATCTGGGTGTAAATAACATCTAATTCTCTTGTTTAAAAAAATACATTATTTTTTTTTTGTTTATTTAACACACAAAAATAAAAGGAACGTGTCACCATTTTCACAACAAATTATCCAAAAAGGAAAAGAAATCATTGCAACTGCGACTTCATACATGGTCACAGAAATGAAGAGGGGTGTAACATTCCACTTTTTTGCACCAACCGGGATTATAAGATCCACGGTGGCCCGCTAGCTAGGAAGTTCCGGATTTGATCCCGGTGTTAGTCTACAAAAATCCCTCTATGTTTTGTACCGTGGAATCTCATTGTCAGTGTTCGACTAACGTTTCTCTCACAGCACACTGCATGGCGTAAGCCTGTCGTCATTATCCCGGTTGGTGTGGACTCGTAGGACGTTAAACGCCATGTCATTTCATTTCTAACCGGGGAAATAAGGAAGAGCATACGTCATGCAGTGAACAGTTCGTTCCGATCATTGACGTCTACAATATTAATAGTTTTCACCCATCTAAATATAGAACTTCCACTATCGATCATGCCAGCCACGTGTATTGGAAAATACTCTGTTCAAGCCACGTGTATAGTTTTAACCTTATATAATCTGTTTAGACATTAAACCGGTATCAGTTTCGGATAGTACAGATACTTAAATAACTTATACACACGATACCATACTCGCATTACCGCTTTAATATACTCACGGGTTATCATATATTATCTTAATTAGACACTTTATATCGACCATTAGCTTAATGAGGCTTATTGGTGTGTAAGGCGCTGGTTCACTTTCTAGGAGTTCCCATTTTCGACCCCGGCGAAGGCCGATAATGTTCCGCGGAATTTTACGGGCTGGCAAGGAACAGCGTCTATAGTCGTTGGGGTGGTACAACAAACCTTAGAAGATTAAATTCGATGAAGAGTAAGCGGAAACGCTGTTGTTCGACCACCGGTCATACTAATCATCGAAAAGAACCGTTAAGAGCGTGTTGTCAATAGCGCCAAAAACATTGGTAAACGTGACTGACAAGGAAATAGATAATCTAATGGGCGCCGCTTCTCTCATAGTCAGCTACATGGTGTAAGCCCATCTCCATTTGCCCTGTTGGTAGAGGAAAATTAAACCCCATTTTATTTCTTTTACTCGGATCACCTCATCAGATTATCGCCAGTGATGAGAAGGCAGTGTCTAGTAGTTCGGATGGTATGGAAAGAAACTAGGTACCATGTACACATTGGCGTGCACATAAAAGAACCCTTTACAGTTGAAATGTTTCCCCCCATACCACACGGTATGGAGTATGTCCGAGTATGGCCGTCAACAATACTCAAGTCGGTGCAGAAAAGTAGGACGTTAAACCCCATTTCATTTCATCAGTTTATCATGTATATATATATTAATGAGATATCAGTTATTAGTTTCACGGTGTTAATTAGACACTTATATTGACCATTAGTTATGAGTGGCTACTTGACATTAATTATGTGAAATATATCATATATTGTTGTTAACCTAGTGACCTATTGCTACCCCTGGTCAGTACTTTAAAATAACCGATTCCCCGGCTTACTTACTGATAGATTGCACCTGCTTCTCCTATATAAGACCGTAATGATATAGAATTCGGCTAATGAGTCGTTTGACGTTTATAAATTTGGGTTTGTTACCGACTTCGGGGGTTCGCGTTCTCCTCCACCTAGTAACTAATAAACCAGGGGTTTACGTTCGTTACCACCTAGTGGGGTTGTTCTACTATACAAAATGAAGGTTAACGTCTGCAACCACCGAGAGGGATATCGCAGACAATGTTTCCGTCACGTGTTCTAAAAACTAGGACAACAAAAAAAGAAAAAAAAATCGTAGTCGTAGCCCTTATGACAGTTGTGCCTCTTACAGTTTAAAACTGGTCACTATGGTGCTATTTTAAACATTCCGATAGTACTCTTAGCCCCACTCCGGGATCCCACCCCATCATATCCTAGCCAAGAAGCCAGTACCTACCACTCGATCATCTCGGGTTCATTTCACATAGGGGGTATAAATATAATGCATTTAAAATGTGCAAAGTCATATTGAAAACTGAAACCACATTTTATAAATTGTAAAAGTTATTTGATTTGAATGCATTCCAGTAATTTTAATAGACAACACGCACAAGTGAAAATTGGTTAATGTTAGAATGTTTACACGTAATTACCAAATATTTCAATAAATAGTTAAAGCGATAAATAGTTTTTTTAAAAATTACGGCTTTATCCATGCTAAAATGTACTCGGATTAAATTAGAAGACAAAATCCTTTAGTTAGTGAGCCAGCGCAAAACTCCACGAGCTCCCTGTAGGATGATCATTACTTCATATTTATGAACGAAATGAAATGGGGTTTAATGTCCTACTTTTCTGCACCGACTAGACTAATGAAAACGGGCATGATGTGTGCAATGAGGGAAATTTTGCCCCGACAGCGGCGCTACGGCCTACTCTTATTTTGAATTTCAAATGCCAAGAGTTCTTTTACGTGCACGTCAACGTGTACATGGGACATCGGTTTATAGTCCCAACTTAACTGTGTGTTTTTTTATTATTTTTTTTTCTTAATTAAATGTTAAATAATCAATCTGGGGACATAATATCATGGATTAAGCAGTGAGAAATATGATATATTAGCGAAAAATGCAAATGACGCAGAGTGATCTAATAAATATAGGCTATGCCAGTTCCCCAATCCCTATTCAGACACAAATCTGAATAAAATATTGTTTTAAAAAAGTTACTTTAATCCTAAAATTTGGCTCAACTATTGAAAGTTAAGCAAAATATTCTAAGCGTATTGTCCTACTTACTTTGTAAGCTTATATAATATTATATATGCATCATATATATTCAATTAAAACGAGTGCTCGTCTAACTGGTTAAGAAGTTATTAAGTGAAGTAGATTTTGTAGCCTATGAGTGTGATTTAATTAGCTAGTTCTCATTGCGATATTACATGTCAAAACTTTCTAGACACTCGAGGTGCCATTAGAAGTAGGGCTTTAAGATTTAACTCTTTATATCGGTCGTCATAATTGCAACATGCATGCAAAGTGTCTAGGCCATTTTATAGACCGATAAAGTGTCCGCTATACATTTTTTAAAAGGTCTCGTGACTCTCGTTTTGACCTACTTAAGAACCCGTGGTCTCAGAAGATTCCGAATTTCCGTTCATGGATCAAATTTGTAACTATTTTATGTACTCAACGCAACATTTACTCAGCCATTACCCAAAATATAACAGTTAAACATGCATTATTCAAGAGCTAAATCTGCCCGTTGTATGTCTTTCTTTAGGCCTCAAATGTTATCTAAATTATAAAATAGACATAACTTACCAAGACAATAATCAACTCTTAATGCCATGGGATGCCTGCGATATTTAGAGGATTTGAATTAACGTTTTGTAGTGGATGAAAATAACTGTACAAATGGATAATCGATACTTTTATTTTTATATCCAGGCCCCAAGTGAAGTTATTTGACTGAACTTTTCACCATATTCTCTTTTCGTTATCTTCTTTTAACTTTTATTTATATCCAGGCCCCAAGTGAAGTTATTTGACTGAACTTTTCACCATATTCTCTTTTCGTTATCTTCTTTTAACTATTATAGTGAGAACTATCAGCTCTTTATCTAATCTTTCCTAATCCCGCTTTAAGAGATAACTCTTCGATTCAGTAGACATGATCAATTAATATGTACAAGTAAATAATATTATGAATAGATCATGTTATCTGAAAACAAGAGATTACAATTATAGTAATAAATTTGGTAGAGTGTCACGAAAATTAAAAGGTATTTGTCTCAGTTTGAACGTTAATTACTAAATATTTACAATAAGGACATTACTAAAGCTAGACATCTTATATTCTCGAAGGGTCAAGCCAGACTGTAATGAATAGAAATGGATATCTTACTGTTTTTGTATTAACCTGGTGAACCTCATGCAATTCGCAAATGTTTGTATGCCCTATAAACTGTCCCTTATAACACACTACATTAGCCCAGTAGAAGCGGAACAATAGGACGCTGAACCCCATTTAATTTCATTTGTATGTGTTGTTTTTGTATTTTCAGTCGCCATGTTTGTATGCAGCAGACACAACAAGCTCAACCTGTTCCAATCAGACAATCCTACTGGAGATCCGTACACAGACAAGTCCAGGAACCCTGTAGCAATGGATATGGTTTATGTCCCAGATTTCGGTAAGCTCATACCCAACAGCCATCCACTGTTCTATTAAAAGTACTTTTGTGGCCCGATTGAATCGTGTAACACAACTGTTACGTCTATGGAAAATTTGAAGATAAAATTGTCTATTTTTATTTGAAAACTGCTTTAATACGAGTGATATTGCAATTTTTTTAACATTCAAACATAAAGCCATTTTGTCTATGGAAATACAGAAGATTTGAAATTTTGGATCGCTTGCATGAGAGCTATTTGAAATGTTTACAGACTGAACGAACTCTGTAAAGCGTTTGGCAAGTATCTCCAACCGTAAAGCCAATTCCGATCCCTGTGAAGCGTTCACGTTTAATTGCCGAATCAAAATGCATCTTTTAAGAATGGCTTTTTTTTCAAACATTTCTATTAATTGTAGTTTTGTTTTTCAGGGTTGTATATCAGCGTGCTTTTAGAACAGTATTTCGTATGAGAATAAATGTAAAGTTAGAGCCTAAATGTTGTCCTGGTTGGGAAAGGTCGTCACCTCATGAACATGGCTGTTTAAAACGTAAGTGTGTGTGTTTACATTGTTGTAAGGCAAATGAGGAGCAAAAATGTCCGTCAATCGATGCGCAATGTATAGTTATAAAGAACAATTAGAAAAGGTCGAAAATGTGACTATGACCGTACTATATAATCAAGGAACCGCCTCTGACGTTTTCACAGCCATCTTATAACGTCATAACAAAGGGCATTCTTCCTATCTCGCATTGGTGTGCTTGCGAGAATGAAATGAAATGCGGACTAACCTCATAGCTTTTTGCACCGGCTTGGGAGAATGACCAAGGTGGTCCGTCAATTTTCCAAAGAGCAAGCATGTCGTCTGTACTCAAATTGACAGAGCCTTAAAGTGTCATCTCAAGAAGAAGGTTAGCAAGAATACCAAGTGTATGGGACCAGTTCCCGTTTTCAAAAACATTTAAAGAATCAAATACACTTCACTACAAGCTTATTACTTTTCTGCCCGGAGTCGATTAATGCCAGTAGATTTTTATATAGAACACGTGTTTGTCGTTTTAAAAGAAGAACAGTGTTTATATTATCGCATTATTTATAACTAATAAATCTATATTTTTATGTGCGCGGGCGATAACTTCCGAGAAAAATTAAATATTTATGTAAACTATTATTAAGGTGACGAGAGGCAGATTTCCGGCATACCTTAATTTATAACATTACTTTAATAGTAAGAACAGGGGCGGGGAGCACATCACCCACTTGCGAACACGTAAGAGTGCATGTAAAAGAACAATTTGAAGTTGGATTACGTCATTCACAGCACCTTGCTTGGTTCTGAACAGGAAAACATTAAACCCCGTATCATTTCCGCGATTACGAGTGCAAGAGGGGTGGTGTTTGCCGGGAAATATTGACAACATATTATTATATATTGTGTCTGTATGTGATCATGGCTGTATCAGTGACCCAATAATTCATGAATTATTTATGTATTGTTGTATTTTATTTTTTAGCTATATTTGGACTGGGTTGTATCCGTACCAAAGTAGCAAGACCCAACAATTCGTGAATTACTAATGTGTTATTTTATTTTTAGCTAAATGTGGACTGGATTGTATCAGTAACAAAGTAACAAGACCTAATAATTCGTGAATTATTAATGTGTTATTTTATTTTCTAGCCATATGTAAAGATGGTTGTATCAGTGGTACCTGTACAGGACCCAACACCTGTTCGTGTAAGGAAGGGTGGACCGGTATAAACTGTGAACGAGGTAAAATCAAATTTACATTAATGCTGGGACTTCACTACAATGCTATATGGAGTGGAAGTTTTTTTCGTTATAATATCACTATAATGCTCATGTTACTTTCCAATATCTATATTCGAGCTTCTCTATCTCAGATCCATGGTAGTAGGTAGGGTCAAGACGATTTAGCCAATATCCAATACTACCCAATATCATCCCATACTCAGCCAATAGAGTCTAAAACAAGAATTTGATTGCCCGATGCTTTATCAAAAGCTAAATAGTGTCATCTATTTATTCTTTGATTGACAACACAGCCTTATTATGTATCAGTGTTCGATGTGTGAAGTTGAAGATATTGTCTTGTTAGACATGTTATGTCTAATGTTTAACCTATTATGTCTAATAATGTTTTATCAGAGATTTAAGTGTGAAGTATGAAGTGTAGTCTAATAAAGATATGATAGTATTTAAATATATATCTTTATCTTCCAGATGTTGATGAATGTGAGGGAAAACATGGCTGTTCACAGGAATGTTTAAATCAGCAGGGAAGTTATGAATGCGCCTGTTCTGATGGCTTCACCTTAGCTCCAGATATGAAAAGTTGTACATGTAAGCAATTGATGACATTTTCAGTAGTGGAAACTTCAAATTATATTCCTAACCAGGCATATATACGATGTAGACATGGGATTGAAAAATATATTGGATGTCATGGAGCATGGAGGCCCAATGTCAAGTACACTGATCGACTAGTCGATCGGATGGGAAAAAACCGTAGCCATGTGTGCACAGTAGTGTGCACGTAAAATAACCTTTTCTTTCTTCAGTTGGATGTCATGGAGCATGGAGGCCCAATGTCAAGTACACTGATCGACTAGTCGATCGGATGGGAAAAACCGTAGCCATGTGTGCACAGTAGTGTGCACGTAAAATAACCTTTTCTTTCTTCAGTTGGAATTCGAAATAAGAATAGGAACTTTGGTGGCGTGCACGTAAAAGAACCCTTCCCTTTTCTGTTGGAATTTGAAATAAGAGTAGGCACTTTGCACACTGTATGGCGTAAGTCGGTGCAGAAAAGTGGGATTTTTAAACAATATTGTCTCTATTTCAGTTTGTGTCCTTAAAATCTCTCGTCGGATTAAAATATCAATTTTATATTTTTTATAAAAACAGAAATATTTCATTCTCAAATAAATAAATATTTCAGTCTCAAATAAATAAATATTTCAGTCTCAAATAAATATTTCAGTCCCAAATAAATAAATATTTCAGTCCCAAATAAATATTTCAGTCCCAAATAAATATTTCAGTCTCAAAAAAATATCAATAAGCTCCCTTCATTATGTCAAATTCGACTTTATGTTGTTTTGCAGTTTGTATGTCGTGTACTAAAGAATATCGAGAAATGCAGGATACCATAGGGACGTTATCACGTAAAGTACGTTCTATAGAAGACGTAAAGATAGGTAGACCGAGTGGAGGAGAAAGGGCTATGAAAGATATGGCTATCTCAATAACAGAACTAAAAGCGAAGGTGACAACGTTGGAAAAAGAAAAGGTAGGGCAATAGCTACATTACAACGTCTATCAGGAATATTTCAGATTTTAAATTGTTGATCAGAAACCATTAATAATGAATAGATACGATGTGATGTTACCAGGAGTTGTCGGGTTCGATCACGGTATTGGCCACTGGCAACCCAAGTTCCTGCGCAGTCTCCTCTTGACAATGATGCAGAACGGAGGACGTGTCGACGTGAACGTAAAATAACTCTTGATATATCCGGGTAAAATTTCCGTCATAGTACACTGTAAATAAAGTTTATATTATTATTATTATTGTCCCCCGCCTTTCGAAGAAAGCAGGGGACTATTAAAATGGGTTCGTCCGTCTGTCTGTCTGTCTGTCTGTCTGTCCGTCTGTCTGTCCGTCACACTTTTTGGGACACAATAACTCTCTTCCTAATTGAGCTAGAATGTTCAAACTTGGTATATGTGTTTATTAGGTCAATGCCTTGATGGAGTTCGAAGATGAGCATTTTCCGCTTAGGGTAAGCAGAGATAAGCAATTTGATTGGTTGATGCTTTGGGACACGATAACTCTCTTCCTAATTGGGCTAGAATGTTCAAACTTGGTGTATGTGTTGATTAGGTCAATGCCTTGATGGAGTTCGAAGATGAGCATTTTCCGCTTAGGGTAAGCAGAGATAAGCAATTTGATTGGTTGATGCTTTGGGACACGATAACTTTTAATTGAGCTAGAATGTTCAAACTTGGTGTATGTGTTTATTAGGTCAATGCCTTGATGGAGTTCGAAGATGAGCATTTTCCGCTTAGGGTAAGCAGAGATAAGCAATTTGATTGGTTGATACTTTGGGGCACGATAACTCTCTTCCTAATTGAGCTAGAATGTTCAAACTTGGTGTATGTGTTGATTAGGTCAATGCCTTGATGGAGTTCGAAGATGAGCATTTTCCGCTTAGGGTAAGCAGAGATAAGCAATTTGATTGGTTGATGCTTTGGGACACGATAACTTTAGTTCTAATTAAGTGAGATTGATGAAACTTGGTGTATAGTTTCATTACAGTAATACCTTGACTAAGTTTGATAATGAGCATTTTCTGCTCAGGGTAAGCAGAGCGATACGCAATTTGATTGGTCGAGACTTTGGAAAACAATAACTCTCCTACTTTGATTGTTAGACTATAAGTAAAGATATACTGTTTGATTGTTCAATACTTTGTAAAAGATAATTTGTGATAAATTTATATGTGTCCTCTAATTATTTTCCTATTTCGGCGGGGGACATCAGCCTCACTGTTGGCTTGTTATTATTATGGTGTATGTCCGTCTTTATTAGCCCAGTCGGTGCATAAAAGTAGGACGTTAAACCCTATTTCATTTCATATAATATTGTATATTACCTAACCATATAAAGTCATATACTATTGTGTATTTATTATTTACATATATTCTTAAAATGAAGTAGGGGATATTCAGAAACAATACCTACGGAAAAGCACTGCTGTTTTTATTAGAGGTAACCAGTGCATGTTAATAACAGGCCAATTGCCTACACATGAACATAAATAGTTCATATGGGCGGCTTATCTGACGGCCCCATTTCACTCACAAAGAGATACACTGTCAAAAGTGAAAATGGACGTTTTTGATTTTTATCCTAATAATGAGTAATTGCTCCACCAATCCTCAAACATTCAGCAATTCGTCGTGGCATGCTCCTAATCAACCGTCCAATAACGATTTGGGACAATCTGACCCACTCCTTTTGCAGTGCCACGGCCAATTCTTGCAGTGTTGTCGGTTGACCTTGACGTCGACGAACACGTCTCCTGATCAAATTAAACGTAACACACTAAAGCAAAGATACACTAAACAGTAAATCTTATGCAAGAACCGATAGGAAGCAAACATGAATAGATAGACCAGCACGCGGAAGTTTTCATCAACCCTTCTTGAAGTGTCAAATTTGACAATGAACCCCTCCCACCTGTATGGCGCTATTGCGTGTCGCATGTGCAGCTCAGTGGTTCTGTTGGGGCGATAAGTTCTTCATCTGTGAACATACTCTCAAAGCATATCAAGTGTCCATGACTATTTATCATATCACAACCTGCATAATTTTTTGCATTTCAATATCCCCTACTTTTTTTGAAGAGTATATTAGCTACCTATATACGGTCATATAATATTGAATATTACCCTATATATGTTACTGTTCTACATTTCAGAATATGTTGATGGGGAATTTAACACATCTAGAAAAGAATTATAAAAATGCTATGGTAGCCATGGACGAGATTAAATCCTTTACTCATCCGGCTCAAATACCAACAACAGCTAAACCTTATAATTTAAATCCGTATGCAGCTAATCCTGATGCCATGCCGTTTGATAGAGTAGCATCTTTAAGTGAACAGATCTCGTTACTAGAAGAACGACTGGAAGGATGTAAGTTACTGACTCTCTCATTACATTGGGAGCCATAGTGGCTAAGTGAGTAAGACGTTGGCTCGCTAGTCTGGAGGTCGCGGGTTCGATCCCGGTGTTGGCCGAAAAAAGTTTTCCGGCGTGGTTTCTCCATGTCAATGGTGCAGGACGGCGGCCTGACAAGGAAAGCTGTTTAGTCATTCGGATGGGACGAAAAAACATTCGTTAAAGATCACTTGGCAGTTGGAATTCGATATAAGAGTAGGCCGTAGTGCCTCTATTCGGGCAAAATTTCCCTCATAGCACACTGCGTGGCGTATGCCCGTCTTCATTAGCGCAGTCGGAGCAGAACAGTAGGACGTTAAACCACAATTCATTACATTTAAAGGTTCCTTTGAAATATAGTAAAACCAGGACGTCCGCTGTTCACTCCTGGTTTTGGCCGAGAAATTTCCCCGGATATTTCCCCATGTCAGTGGTGTATACGTGATTCGCCAAGTTGGGTGGGCTATTAGGCTAGCTCGCTTTTAATCTCACTTTTCGTTATCTTCAATTTAAAACTGGTATTCATTTGACATCTTTTATTGCAGGTACGTGTAAAGATTATGAAGATTATAACGGTAAACAACGCGACAGTTTTCGTGGTTAATCATGGATTACCCTTGAATCCCATTGTAGAGAGAGGACGTACAAAGTAATACGCAAATCATTGTTTCGGATTATAATAACTAAAAATCAAAATATTGCATAGCAAGAACAAGAGTGCGAAAAGTGTCAATGGTTATCGTTCGCAATATTTACATGTTGCATTTTATTTCATGTTTTATGTAAATATTAAAACGACTTGGAATGATTATAAAAACTTATAAGCGGCGACAAACCAGGATTTTCTTTCGGGTTAGAACGTTTTTGAATACAAAGTTTCTGATGTGGTCCTTCAAGTAATAAACACAAAGCAAACACGTGACATGGAGTGCGAAAATGTTGTTATTCACGAGATGGGAACGAAATGGTAACCGTGGCAATTAACATTGCTAGTCACGTCACGTCACGTTTGAAAACCCATTACAAAATATTGTGTTGGTATTAACCATGGTGATGGGGTGGTAGTAAATGACATTGCTAGCAATACCTCGTTGGATATTTCATTACATGTTGATATCAGTGTCCTTCGTCTTGTCTCAAGATATTTTATTACCTATCTTGAGCAGTTGTCTCAATTTTTCCTGACTGGGCTTGACTTTCATTATTGATCAATATATTAACAAATGTGAATCGATATTTAAAAATATAGATGAAGGGACAATGCTCTGTGGAGGACCTGTATAGCATATGGTATAATATATTTATAGAGAGCCTTATGTCGAACATCGATCAGCTACTCAGTACCTAGATACTTGAAGGATTGCCCTATCTTATGGAATTATTTCTGCAACATGTCATTCTGTGTATGCTGGATGGAATGTTAGAGATAGGAGCAATTGAGAAAGACAACGAGGACATTGTGACAATTTGATCAAGACTACATAAACAATTATATAGCTAGTTTATCCAATATTACCTCTACAACAATGTTCACCCAGTCTTGAATGGCCAGATTATATCGAGATATACCCATCATTATCTCTACCTCAAAACATCCTTATAGATATTATGTATCCAGATAACGACGTGGATCACCATGTGTTGATTATAAAGGAGAATTCTCAGATGGTATAGGCATTTTAAACCGTTATCAGAGTTTTGAACATTATTAGAGGTTTAAACCGTTATACGAGGTTTAAACTGTTCTAAGCGGTTTAAACTGTTATTAGAAGTTTAAACTGTTATTAGAGGTTTAAACTGATATTAAAGATTTAAACTGTTATAAGGGGTTTAAACTGTTATTAGAGGTTTAAACTGTAAAATGAGGTTTAAACTGTTTTAAGTTTAAACTGTAAAATGAGGTTTAAACTGTTTTAAGTTTAAACTGTAAAATGAGGTTTAAACTGTTTTAAGGGGTTTAAATTTTTATAAGAAGTTTGAACTGTTGTTAGAATTTCAAATTATATAAGAGGTTTAAACTATTAAACTGTTCTAGGAGGTTTAAACTGTTATTAGAGGTGTAAACTGTTCTAAGAGGTTTAAACTGTTATCAGAGGTGTAAACTGCTATAAACTGTTTAAAGGGGGTTTAAACTGGCCTAAGAGGTGTAAACTGCTATTAGAGGCTTAAACTGTTACTACAGATTTAAATGTTTAAGTTCTATATTTTGCCTGCCTTGTTGATATAATTGGTTTGGTGCAATGCATAAAGGCGGCTCGGTATAAATACTCGTGTACATCGGAATTGTTCTACTGAAATAAACTTTAACTTACATTGCTAACCGATTTGATACCCTTGTTCAACAACTGTTTCCGGTGAGCAAAGAGTGATGTGAGTTGGTAAAATAAATTTGCAGTAGCAGTAGTCATTGTGCAGAACTATATAACAATACAAACAAGCGTGAATTCATTCTAAAGAAAGAGATGTCAGGTGTTCTAGAAAGAGTTGAGATATATCGCCCACTCCTCACCCCCTCACGTTCAGGACACGTGCCAATGGTTTAGACAGGACTAGGGAAGTTGATAGCTACGATAATTAAATATAGTGCATCTTGTATATTATATTGTTGTTATAGCATTTTGTATCAGAATTGTTAACTTCTAGCCTATATGCATCGATACAAATGTATGAACAGCAAAGTTAGATAATGGTTGGTTGGGGCTAAGAGGAATAGTATAAACACGATAGTAAAGATACGATAATTAAATATAGTGAATCTTGTATATTATATTGTGGTTATAGCATTTTTAATCAAAATTGTTAACGTGTAGCCTATATGCATCGATACAAAAGTATGAACAGCAAAATTAGATAATGGTTGGTTGGGGCTAAGAGGAATAGTTTGGACCGGAAGCGGAAGTCTATAAACACGATAGTTATATATAGTTCCGCTTGGATATTATATAGTTGTTGTAGTATTTTTAATCAACATTGTTAACTTGTATATATGGATACACACGTATGTACAACCCAAGTTAGAGAATTGGTTGGTTGGGGCTAGAGTGAATAGTTTAGACCGGAAACGGAAGTCTATACATGAATCACCCATTCCAAAAAAAGGGAGTGTCACTGTTGCATTGTGGGAGATCGGTGAGCAAACTACTCGTAGGCCGCCATTAGCTTGCATTGGATTTTCCTGACCAAATTTCGATAAACGCCGATTTTACGTTAATTTTAGTGATGGGGGATATTTCATATGATGTGATAGAGACACAGATGGTTGATGCACGTAAAGAATACCTCAGAAAGCACATTCTGAAGTATACACATCGCAAAAAGGTAAAATGAAAACTCCAAAACAAGCAGCTGTCAAAATTTAACCTTCCTATCAATCAGCTGATCGCTGTCACTTTAGCAGGTCAATACTCAAACTGTGAGTGTACAGTGTTGCATAGAAATAAATAGCACAGGGTACATTAAGAATGCTTAATAAAAAAACATGTTTATTACGTTCAGTATTATTCATTTAAATATTTTAAAATTAATTACTATTATTACTTGTATGGTTAAGTTTTGACAGCTGTTTGTTTTGAAATTTTAATTTTACCTTTTTGCGATCTGTATACTTCAAAATGTGCTTTCTGAGTTATTCTTTACGTGCATCAACCATCTGTGTCTCTATCACATCATATGAAATATCCCCCATCACTACAATTAACGTAAAATCGGCGTTTTTCGAAATTTGGTCAGGAAAATCCAATGCAAGCTAATGGCGGCCTACGTCGTAGTTTGCTCACCGATCTCCCACAATGCAACAGTGACACGCCCTTTTTTTGGAATGGGTGATTCATGTATAAATGCAAGAGTTATATAATATAGTTCAACTTGTACATATAGAAAAGTTAGACATTTGTTGTGGCATTTTTATAATGTTTTTATTTACCAACGTTTGTGATGAAAACGACAAGCAAGTTCGGAATGTATATGTCGTATAATATATGATTTTGTATAGCATTAAAGGAGAAGCCCCAGATGTCAAATTGACGTTGGTTGAAAGCGGCTTTAATATGCAAATTAGATATCGAATTGTAGATCTGACGCTATTGAAATTTTCTTAGTTTTCGCTAAAATAAAAAGGGCGATAAAACTTAAGTCAACCATAAAGATGTCATTTCACAGACGTGGAGAAGTTATCACTTACTTATTGCATGTATATTCAGATATTTAACACCGTTTTTTACACTGGACCGAGCTTGTACGTGACAAGGAGTGTGGTCCCCTGTTAACCTCGTGAGTTTTATCTGGGTCCTCCTGTTTCCTCCCACTGCTAAATACCCAGCGAATTATTGAAATAGTGTTAGTCCCGAACTGACATAATTTGTGTCGAGTGGACGTCGAAAGCTATTTCCCTCTCTCCCACTTCAATATATCTTGGACACCTCATTAAATATTTCATATCACTGTGTGTTATATTTTATATTTGACCGCTATGTTCAAAGGTCAAGGGTCGTCGCCTCAACTAGGATATTGTTAAATCTAGCCTATATTGTTTCAATAATTATATATATTAAAAAACTGTTATTAGAAACTAACTAGAATTATGTCGAAATACTATTATTATAAATACGAGTATTATGTTGAAATATTATTATTAGAATACTAGAATTATGTTTAAAATACTATTATTAGAATACTAGAATTATGTTTAAAATACTATTACTGTATTAGAATACTAGAATTATGTTTGAAATACTATTATTAGAATACAATAATTATGTTTGAAATACTGTTATTAAGATACGAGAATTATGTTGAACAACGATTAGTAGAATACTTGAATTATGTTGAAATAATATTTTTATAAACACTAGTATTGTTAAATCTAAGATATATTTTTTTTGTATGTTATTATGCTGGCAATACTATTGTTAAAATTATAGAATTATATTTGAAATACGGTTATTATAATACATGAAATACTAATATTCGAATACTATAATTAGCATAAATAATTAAATTTTAGGTTTTTATGTGCTACCTTGTCTAGAAGCAGGATTATAGCGCAGATCAAGAGAACGATTTTTAATTTATTTTTCCAAAACTGATAACATAAAACCAAAAACAATAAAAATATGTGAATGGTTTTATGTACGCAGATAAAGTGTTGATGTATCGTGTTTCTGGTTCAATAACAGGACTGACAATGTGCCCGGAAACACTTATAAAATACATGTTATAAATAATTATAATCTACATATAGTCATCCTGTGTTGTTTTAACTACGTCATTTCCTGTAGACTAAAAGAAAGTAGTATGACATAGATCAAAGGGAGGTTTATTGTTTTCAATGACAAATAAACCTATACAGTTGGGTTCCATGCTTTTTCAAAATGCTTTCCGCGAAGTTGGGTAGGGGGCAGGGCGCCCGCGATATTATTTCAAACATTACAGGTGAGGTATGCAATTTGGAATATTTTCTGGCTAACTACCAATGAAAAGTACTATATTAATTCTTGAATTTCTCTCATTAGAATTAACTGACTTTGAACATTTCATATTTGGACCAATATGCTTTTTTGGTAATACACTGGAATCTGTCAATTTCAACATCGTACGGGATCGTTAAAATATGCCGGATTACACGGCATGGCGGAATACTCGATACCGGAAGTATTATTGTACCTTCGAATACCGGAAGTGTTGGTTTATTATTGTGTATCATCGTACGTAAGGTACATGTTAATTGTGGAAAAAAAATCAGCTTGTCAACGCTTCTGATCACCCTTTTGACGCTTGATAGTGGGAGGGGTGGGGGCCATCCGCTTCTCGTCGTAGATCTGGGAAATGTGATATTTTGTCCCATTTTCAACGTTATTCAGATCTCGATGGTCATCTAGATCACATTTACTGGATCAGCAGGTAAGCTTCCGTGGACCACACTACTGCAAAGTAATTATAAACAAATAAAATTTCCGAAGTTGATCACTTTTTAACGGAAGGTATGTGGCGGGAGAGTTCTCTCCGTAGAACAGCTTGAGCGATATAATACATGGAGTTTATGTAATTCGTTCCGTTCTTTGATCATGTATAACAAGAGTTTTGTATATTTAGAGATTAATATGTAGTAGATTGTAACTATTGTCTATAATCATATAATGTTAGTTGCTTTACCTTTAAATGTATCATAATGTGAATAAAGATTCTTGCTTATAATTACAGAGACATTCTTGTTTAAAGTCACTGGTTTTAAATCCATAGCTGTGGTGTATCAAAATGAAATGAAAGGACATAAAAGAGGGTTTAACGGCCGACTGTTCTGATCCTACTTGTATAATGAAGACGAGCATATGCCATGCAGTGTGCTATGAGGGACATTTTGCCCGGACAGCGGCGCTACGGCCTACTCTTATGTCGAATTCCAACTACCAGAGGATCATCTTTACGTGCACGCCAATGTGTATACAGGACTTCGGTTTTTCGTACCATCCGAACGACTGTACGTTGTCCCTTGCCAAGCTCTCTGTCCCAATCCACTGACAAGGAGGAATCACATCGGAAAAACCCGATGAACTGCCTCGGCCAACGCAGGGATCGAACACGGTAGGCTTACCTTAAGGTTACGCACCGAGCCCCCCCCCCCATCCGGCCCCACCCCACGTAGCAGACTACGTACAATATTGTGAAAGTTGAAAATCTGTCAACGTTATGAATCGTCTGCAGTAAATATACATGCGGGATTTTCGCAAATCTACGCTGAAATCAGTTGATGGGCCCTTGTAATCCGATGCAGCCAAATGACACATTGCCTATTAACCAATCTTTACTATATTTTACGTGAAACCGTTGAACTGTAGATTATTTCATGAAATCATTTTTATTATGGTTGGCGTTTATGGAGCAAATGATGACGTGTTTTAAGAATTTCAGTGGGAGAAAACATACCTTGCTTGCAGTGGTAGATGTGCAGAAAACCAAAAGATTTAAAAAAAAATAAAATTAAGTTTAGTGCCCTACTTTCCTACACAAACCTAGATAATGAAAACGGGCATGAACCATACAGTGTGCTATTAAAGGAATTTTGTCGGGATAGCGGCGTTTCCACCTACTCTTAATCAAAATCCAAAATGCTCGTCACTGATTTCACGGGCCATCGATCCGCTTTTCGTACCATCCGAACGCTATTTCTTGCCAGCTTTCTTCCACTTACCAAGGGGAAACCGAGAAGCTTCTTCAGCCAACACCGGTATCGAATCTGTTCTGTGATCCAGAGCTTTACCCATTGAGCTACTGCGGCTCCAGTGTTTAAGGACATACTATGATGGTAAGGGTTGGTGAGATGCAAGGGAAAGCACTCTGTTTATATTCCTGGTGGGTTAGACCATATTTACGTATGATTATTCCAATCTGTGTGAAGGGGTAGCATAATGGTCGAGTGGTACAACGGACTCCAGACTAAAACGGTTAATGGGTATCCCCTGGGTGCTGACAGGACGAAGCGCCCCCTCCCCGCTGATCCACCGGCGTACACGTTGAAAACTGCATTGCAAAATAGACTACTAATGTTTGAATATGGCGGTCATTCAGGACAGAGATTTATTCTCATCCTAGATAGTTCTCTGATCACACAATGGCGGAAAGGGAGAAAGGGGCAATAACAATGGAATGACACAATATTTTGAATTTATTTTTATTTATTAGCGTGGTAATAATTAACAGAAGCAAGTTATTAAAATATGGATACTTTTTTAATATCCATATATTTTACTACATGTAAATATGGTCAAAATAACGGACAAAAAAGTTATATGTTATATTATACTTATCAAAAACAGTTAAGCCATATGTACACCTAAACACTTCCTAAATATACAAAAAACAGACACACCAACGAACATTGATAATAAAAACATTGATGATATAAAGTACATCGTAAACTTGAGATTCGTTTTTCGTAGGAATTCGTATTTTTGCCAGGTAAAATTTGCCCAGGAACGTAATTATTTGTCATTCATATTTAAACCTCCTGACGCTCGTGCCCGGCTATATATGTGTTGTTTATGTTGCTAGAGGTCCGGGTAATTATGTTTTTTGAAAATAGTAGTTTTACTATTTCCGTTAATAAGTCATCCCAGTATTACATGTATATTGTACCCAGAAATGTTTACCTTTCTGAGTTATAATGAGCCTAGAAATGCTAACGCTTTTAGTAATACTAAGCCTAGCAATGTTAACCTTATTGAGTTATATTGAGCCTAGAAATGTTAACCCAGCTGAGTTATATTGAGCCTAGAAATGTTAACGCAGTTGAGTTATATTGAGCCTAGAAATGTTAACCCAGTTGAGTTATACTGAGCCTAGAAATGTTAACCCAGTTGGGTTATATTGAGCCTATAAATGTTAACCCAGTTGAGTTATATTGAGCCTAGAGATGTTAACCCAGTTGAGTTATACTGAGCCTAGAAATGTTAACCCAGTTGGGTTATATTGAGCCTAGAAATATTAACCCAGCTGAGTTATATCGAGCCTCGAAATGTTTACCTAATAGAGTTATATTGAGCCTTGAAATGTTTACCTAATAGAGTTATATTGAGCCTTGAAATGTTTACCTTGTTGAGCTATATTGAGCTTTGAAATGTTAACCTTGTTGGGTTATATTGAGCCTAGAAATGTTTACCTAATAGAGTTATATTGAACGATTTGATGTTAAAAACACTTGTATGAGCTTCCATTAACCATCTATTCTGCTTTAATACTAGCAAATATTTCATTTAGAACTTCAAAATCTGTTTGTTTTTCCGTCCGTGGTGGCGTCGGTTTCGGTGTTGATGTTTTCAATTTCTTGGGTTTTGGTCTGCCTTTTCGTCTTACAACTTCAACTGGTGGAGGGTCTATTTGCTCGAATTCCAGATTTTCTAGCCGTGTTTCTACATTGCTCTGAAAAGTCCTGAAATCTGTATACACCCTGGTCTTCAGGTTTGTCATATCAGATTCACAGTAACCTAGATAGAACAAAAAACAACCAACGTACATTAAAACTAGGTTGCCAGGCAATAAACATACGCATACAGCAGTCATGTCGTCCGCGCTGTCCACAAAGGTTGTTGCATAATTTTTTATTACGGATAATGGGGACATTCACAAGATAAAATATGATCATGAATAACAACAAGTGAAATAATTATCAAAATTAATTAAAGTCCTCCTGAACGTCCAGAAGTTTTTTAATTGACTTAAAGTTACAATTTCATATTTTCTAAGAAAGTCAAAGCATAATTATTTCTATGTCTTTTGCTCAATAGGTTGTCAACTCACTATTATATGATCGTATAGGTGTCATTCTCACACTTAAAACTCATTTACACCGGAAATAATAACAAAATTGCCTCCCAATTACCTCCCTTGTTTTCTATTCTCCACCATGGAGTAGTTATCTTCGAACGTTGGAATTTGAAGATGAAAATTATATTTTTGCCAATTTCTCAACTGGCAATAGTGAATTATAGGATTAATAGGATTATGCTTTAACAAGGTAGGACTATTTATAGATACCATCTATTTTAAGGCTTTATTTTAATAAATTTTAAAATATAACTTAAAAATATGAAATTGCAACTTTAAACTCCAGACAGTACTTACGGAAATCGTGGAAAATGAAATAAACATTGTGTATACATTTGGTAACTGTAGCAGCGCGGGAGTCCTTATAAGAGTTTTCAAATTGATGAAGAGTCGTAACTCCGATGGTTATATCGTTGAAAATCGTCAATAGGATTCTTCGTGTCAGGAACATAAACACTATATACCAATTTCAAGCCAGTAGGATAATACCTTTAGCCCCTGGAACATTTTTTTCCGGAAGGGTAGTACCTACCCAGGTATTGTCAAGAAAAGTTGGCAGATTGATATTGATGTAGACGAGAGGTGGTCAATATGTATTTGATATTGATGTTAGTCAAGCGGGGATGGGGGTAACTCTATATTTGTACTTACATCTACCGACAGCATTTTCTAATTTTTCTACTTGTCTTGTCAGTTTTATCAACATATCTTCTACTTCAGGGGTGAGAACTCCAATCTCTTCAGGCTCTCTAAAATCGGGTGTTGTGGCAATAATAGGTTGCGGTTTCCCGGGATACGTCAGTCGTTTCACCTTCTCTGTCATGGAAACCATACTCCTATTTAAATTACTCTAGAAGTAAAATTAAAGGAATTTATTTGAAAAGGAATGGCATGTATTAAAGTACAGGGGTACTCCATACTGCCAAGGAAGAAAACCACTCTTTACTTTTGACGAGATGGAACCATGGTAGCTCGATGGGTTTGCCGTTGACTCAGTAACCAGGGTGTCCTCATAGCATACTGTCTGACAAATGCTAATTTTCCAATCTGAATAAAATAGAGATCTATAGTTCGTTTCGGTTTTTTTATACTTTCGATGGACTAGACTACATGAAGATCTTACCGGTTTTAGTAGAAGGTCGCGACAGAGGTCGTATGAGCGGCTCTTGACCTTACGACGTCAGGCATTGATTAATCAATCAGCGTTGACGTTTCGAGTGGTTTACCCACAGTTCCGTGCATCGCACGCCAAGAAGTCCCCGTAACAGATGTTTTCATTGGCTAATCCCTTGTGCCATCCAGAAAGCAGGTATATATAACAACTCTTTCAAGTCCTAGTGTAGTAACGACAAGTAAAACAAAATTTTGAACTATTAAAAAACGAAAAGAAATAGTATCTGTGTTTTAATCAAATTGGTTCATATTCATTAGTCGGATTTTGCCGACAGGTAGGACCTTAAATCAAGTAGCATATCATCTTTAAAGAGATATTTTTCTAGAAATCAGCGTCAAGACGATATCACCATATCCAGTGAAAGCTTATCACCATATCACCAAATCCAGTGAAAGCTTATCACCATATCACCAAATCCAGTGAAAGCTTATCACCATATCACCAAATCCAGTGAAAGCTTATCACCATATCACCATATCCGGTGAAAGCTTATCCATCACTGCCTGGTGGTAAAGTAAATGTAATTCTGTTATTAGCTTACCACTTCCGTTTCTAGAATCTTGACCACGTCCTTTAGTCGAGTATTTTCTGCTATCATTATATCATATTCTTCTATACAGGACAAACAAACTGTAAAAAAACATAACCAATTTTATACACACTAGGGCACTGCGGGCAGTTGCCCGTGGGCCCTAATACCATAGGAACCCATGACAATCTATGTATGTGGTAACTTGCTGGTTTTGTTGGACGTACCAATACAATAAATATTATATGTTTAATTTGATAGACAATTTGTATTCCTTATTCCTGTGAGTGGTTGTGTAGGTAGGGGCCATTATACACTGCTTTGCCTGGGGGCATATAACGCTGTTAAGGCGACCCTGATATCGTGGTGTAACGGTAGATTTAACAGTATTTGATAAAGGAACACGTTTCGTATACAACGGAAAATATATTTCGAACTAGTCTTTTGTTTTCAAGAATCGCACATTAGTCTATTTCTATTTGCATACATTATCATATGACGTGAAAAACAAGAATTTATGCCCTCAGATGCAATGCCCAACTATTGTAACAGATTTAGATGAAGACAGACTCTAAGGCTATTTCTTTTGTCAGGTCACTCACAATATAAGCCCACACCCTTCGACTAGAGGAGGGTGGGGTGGGTCTATTTGTATCATTTCCAGTCTATTCAGATTACTCAGAATCAAATACAGCGTAATAATATCAGTTCTCTCATCCATTCGGAATATCGTACGTTTATTTTTTTAAATTAGGTTAAACTATAATGGCCTTCCCCTCATTGGCTGAATTCACTACTAAGCGTACCACCATACGCCCTCGGTATCTACAGCGGTATCGTTCCGTTCTACTCCAGTAACGCCTGGGTCCTTTCATGGGCTATTCACGAATTCAAATTATCTGTCCTTGATGATTGCTTTGGCAACGCAGGTTGTCTCTACGAACCAATCAAAAAGCAGCTTACATAACCATTCTTAGCGGCATATGTTCACCACAAAATGCGAGTTACTTCCTGTCGTCCATTCCCTTTCTGTTTTTGATTGGTCGTTAAAAATAGCACAATTACCAAGGAAGGATAATTTGACCATGCTTCCCTCCCGTGAATGTACCCAGGTGTTAGTGGAATAGAACGGAACGATACCACTAAGGATACCGAGGATGGTCACCATAATTATAGCGATCTTGTGAAAACTCAATATCTCCAGGGTACAACTGGCAAATATGCTCAAACGGTGGTGTTTAACAAACGCATATTGTACTGAAATCTGATTCAGATGGAGTCTATAATATTATATTATAACATAGTTGAGGACCGATACTGTAAAGTTAATATCGTTCAATTATGAACAAATAGCTTTTATTAAAACATTTCTAAGTCGTCATTTATGAAATAAATAGGTCGGTTCATAGGTTTCTTATGATGTTCTACTTACATTTACAAGTTTTGAGATCTTTTTGTAGGGTAAATCCTTCAAAACAAGAACAGTTATACCCGCCTGGACTATTGGTACAAACTTGTTGGCAACCATGATCACCCTTACACTCATCTTGATCTGATAAAAATATAAACATTTATTTGATGTATCCCAACAACATGATCACTCTTACACCTATCTTGATCTGATAAAAATGTAAACAACATGTATTTGATATACCCCAACAACCTGATCACTCTACCACCTATGTTGATCTGATAAATATGTAAACAAGGCAGCTGTAAGGGTGGTGTCCCCCCGCCGTAATCGCAAAATAAACAGATTAATTAATTGCACATATATCGTTTTCAAAAGTATCGAGTAATCAAACTGATTAGAGACTTTTGGCAAGCGTAATTTCCTGGTCCGTATCGCGTATCCGTATGGATTTTGCGTGTGACGTCATCAATGTCTGTGTATTTCTCATACGTGATACGGCACACGGATACGGCAGCACGTATGGAACGGCTTTCATACGGAAATGGTCCGTATAACACTGTCGTCTTTTTCCCGTCTTTTTTGCTACTTTTAGACGCTGAAATGTTGCATCATAGCGTTTTTATGAATCTGTGTGTATCCTAGAACACGAAGGTGTATATTTGATGTGATTTTAACAGTGATAACGACTGGAATTTAATCATCATTTTTGATGGGTTTTTCTCGAAATTTTCATATTTTTCCCGCCTGTCTGCATACTGGTTGATCTATGGGCTAAACTTTCTGAAATAATACACTAGTGAAACCAAAAATTGCTAAAATCTGCCAAAACTCTAAAACTACATTGACGCAACGTATCACGTATACGATACAGATACGGGATACGGATGGGAAAAATCCGCTTGCCAAAAGTCTCTATTATCTATGCTTAGTCTACGCATCAAATGTTCACGATAAAACTCAGTCAGGTTTTCACGTACCTAGCAGTGAAACTATACACTAAGTTTCATCACTCTCCGTCAGTTAGAATCAAAATTATCTCGTAAAGCTCAGACCAATGGAATTGCTCAGTTCTGCTAAGATTTAGCGAGAAATATTAATCATTGAACTCGGTCAAGACATTCGCCTAATAAACATCTATACCTCAATTAAAAGCAGAGTTGTTATGTTCCAAAGTCTCAACCAATCGAATTGCTTATCTCCACTTAACCTTAGTGGAAATTGCGCAAGATAGATCTCTGTCAAGGCATTCACCTAATAGACACCTACCTCAATTAGAATAAGAGTTATTGTGTTCCAAAGTCTCGACCAATCAGATTGAAGCCATTACCTTTGCCTAAGCAGAAAATGCCCAGCATCGAACTTTGATAAGGTATTGATGTAATGGAACTATACACGAAGTTTCACCAATATCACTCAATTAGAATGAAAGTTGTCGAGCTCCACAGTCTCAAATTGCTTATTGTTCTGCGTACCCGAAGCCGAAAATGCTCATTATGACACTTAGTCACGGTATTGATGTGATGAAACTATACGCCAAGTTTCATCACCCTCACTTAATTAGAACTAAAGTTATCGTGTATCAAAGCATCAACCAATCAAATTAATTATCTCTGCTTGCCCTAAGCAGAAAATGTTCATCTTAGAACGCCATCAAGGCAGTCACCAAATGAACGCCTATACCATGTTCAAACATTACGCCTCAATTCGAAGGAGGGTTATTGTGTTCCAAAGTCTCAACCAATCAAAAATGCTCATTATAGAACTCCATCAAGGCATTCACCTAATAAACACCTACATCAAGTTTGAACATTCCACCTCAATTAGAAGAAAAGTTATCGTGTAACAAAAGGTGTGACGGACGGACAGATGGACTCTTATCGTAAGAGTTAAGAGTTTTACATTATATAGTCAATAACAAGAATCTGTCGTAAGAGTTAAACATTATATACCCCAATAACAAGAATCTGTTTTAAGAGTTAAAAGGTGTCCGAGTTGACAAACAATCGTATTCGTTTAACATTGACACGCTGCAGCCGCATGCCGATACTCGTGTTGTCGGTTGCCGGAGTCATGGTGTACACCGGCGGTTCATTAACCAGGGTTTGATCGGTGTTTTCCGAGAAATATTTCTCAGGATTTTCCAGTGTGGCTTCCCGAAGTCCCATACAGACGTTGGACTGAACGTTAAAGACCCTTTGACAATTGCATTAGATAAAAGGTAAAAATTCTCCCCACAGCACTGCATGGCGTATTGCCGTCTTCATTAGGTCAAATGATGCAGAAATATAAGAAGTTAAATCCTGTTTCATATCTTTTCCTTTCTGTATTTTTTACTCCTGTTGCGTTCTTTAGATTCAATAGTTTAGCACTAAATTAGGTCAAATATGTTGCAAATACGTACCATTCTCACAACACGTTCCGTTCCAACCCTCGGGGCATGCACATTTACCCGGTTGATTACAATAACCACCATGTTCACACGGTTTGTCACAGACAGCTAGAAGAAAAATAAATAAATAAATCACTCCTCGCTCATAAAATATTTACGTAGGCTATTAAACATACATTATGCAAGAGCTAAATCTGCCAATTGCAGGTCTTTATTTAGGCCTGAAATGTTATCTAAATTATTAAATAGACATTAATTAACTTATCCAGACCATAATCAACTCTCGATATCATCGCTAGCCGGTGATATTTACTGGGTTATAATCCGATCAGCTGCTCAACGCTCATTCATGATCAAATCAAAAAATGGATAAACGAGATTATGTTTTTTAGCGTACCGACTTTAGTAATGATGACCGAGGCTAGGCCTTGACTGAAATGTTCAGCAAATTCCTTTTACATTATCTAGTTTTCAACTATTATAGCGAGAACTGCCAGCTCTTTATCTAATCTCCCATAATATATCTTTAAATAGGTCTAAACAGTCTTCATTGGCTGACAAGCTTGTAAATGTGAGACAAGATGGCATTCACAAAACATCTTCTGGTTTTGTTCCAGAGCGATAATTCAATTTAAAATGATCTCATTTTAGTTCACAAATATTTACAAGATTTTTATCTCATAAAAAAAACAATCGAAAGTAGTGCGGATGAAAACAATGTTCTAAACATATCAGATAAAGGAATGATGTCAAATCAGCTAAAGGAATGACGCCAACGGTTATAGTAATGTCGTCTAATTGGCTAAAGGAATGATTTCAATTCAGATGAATGATATTAAATCAGCTAAAGGAATGGTGTGAAATCAGCTAAAGCAATAACGTCAACCCGGCTAAAATAGTGGCGCCAACTCAGTTAAAGTAAGGTAAATAACGTCAAATCGGATGGAGGAAAGACGTAAATCTATCAAAGGAATGATGTCAAGACATCTAAAGAATTGACGTTAAAGCAGCTAAATGGTGATATCAAATGGTAACTGACACAGGGATTATTTGATGATTGTTAAGATGTTTTAAAACGGTATATATTTATATATTTGTGTGCTGAGATTTTATCCGCCAATAACCAGCCAGCGAAAACATGACATTTATTATTTTTACACATCTATTAGATGGTGTTGAAAGACTGTAGAGTACTTACGTTTTAAACAACTATGATATAAATAGGAATATCCAGACCATCCAGGACAACATGAATATGACTGTTCTCGTTGTGGCATCATCTGAAACATGGTCCGCTGAGCTGTTCTATATGTTAATCTGAAAGGAAATGGACGCGGCTTAAAGTAGCTAAGTCTCTAACTCAATATCTGCCACAGACTTCGACAATGACCACACGAATTATTTGCCAGTTTAACTAAACGTTGATATTGTGTTCTTACCGGGAAAAGATGGGCTTCTGATATCAAATATTTAAGACAAAATAAATATTTTACCGTCGGTACCATAAGGCGTTTCAGTGTCAATTGTAACAAGGGACTCGAAGAACAAGGCGAGACATATTCCAAAAGTCATGTCAAACTGTGACGCCATATTCTTATCTGAAAAGTATGCAAAATAAATACTACATATGTAGACTGGAATAACCAGACGCTCGAGATTGTCATTCGATTGAGACTTCTCGCCTATTTCGCCGAACATGACTGATTTGAAATCAGAGTAAAAACGGAAACGATTGAATGTAAATCTGTTTATATTACATTATTATATGAGTTGCGACCCATTTGTGTCCATTTCTAGGTCCCAGATATTAGCGATTTAGCTCCTTTAACGTCTTCTGAACACAATTATTCATTAGTAATTTTGAGAGTAAAATATTTTATGTTTCATGATATTCTAGTCTTAATATACATAAGGGGAACTTTAACAGTTGTCATCCAAAGAACAGCAGGCGGAAATATCTGGGGAAAATTTCTTTGATAGGTAATTTTGATGTTCCATGACTACCTGTCTAATGACAGATATGGATTTTTTTCACAGCAGATATTTTATCGCCTGCTGTTCTTAGAATGACAACTGTTAAAGTTCACTTTATGTTTATTGCTAATTTTTGCACGGGTACTAGATGTATCGTCGACATACAAACTTGTGGAAAATGTCGCAAATCTTCTACCCTTACTGACCCCCAAAAATAAATGAACATAAATGGTTGTACAGTTTATAGAATTCCAACTGTCAAGGGATTTTGAACGTGTACGCACATCAAAGGGTACATAGGCGGATCCCTGTTTTGCATCCCATTCGAAGGACTAAACGCTTTTCATTACCAGGTCATCAGCCCTGCACTACTGACAAAGAGAAAACAGGCTAGATATATTAGAAAAAACAAACAAACAATGAAATAAGAACAATATTTACCTAAAATTTGAGCATAGTTGAGAACTATCATTAGGACAGGGTAGGTAACTTCTCTGATAATATGGTCTACAATATGTTTCCGTTCTTCTGATGGGTCTCATTACCATTTTCTCTTGGGTACATATATGGCGCCTGAAATTAAACACTTACAAATTCTAGACGGATAGATTGCCTGGCAACAAAACATACAACCACATCAGCTAAGTGGCCCAGATAATCACTGTAGCCTTCACAGTGTCCACAAGAATTTTCAAAGTGATCAAGGGACATAACTCTGGCAATAACTCTAAAAATCAGTAGGATTCTTTGTCTCATGGTCATGAACACTGTATGAAATTAAAGTCAATCGGATAATTACTTTGGCCGGTAGAGCGTCTCAAAGCAATTGTGAACGCCAGACGGGCGGACGGCAAAATACGAGAACATTTCAATGTAGGCGTATGAAAAGTCAGAAAATAATATAATTAGATACAGAGTTTCGTAAATATGTGAAAATTAAAAAAAACACCCAATAACTTTGTACTGTAAGAAGGAGAGCCCCGATCTAACTTAGTCACCATCCCTTGAATGACGTCATTAGGTCAAGTCGCAGTAGCTGGTGGGATAACGTCTACTTCGCTGTTCATGGTATCGCAGACAAAAACTAGGGGAAGTAGAATCTTGCTACAGCTGATTAGAATATGAATATGCATAATGCTAACTATCGATCTACCTATTTATAGCTCACTTCTAAGGCCGATAACTCACGTCAAAAAAAAACATTCAAAGAGGGATACATTGAAAATCCAGCAAAGTAGATAACATCCCAGTTATAGAGGCTTCACGGATGCATTATGTAAGATTTAGATAATGAACTGGACGTTCTTGCTTTCGTAGTGCAAAAATAGATAACGGGATATGAATAATATATTGCAAATTTCAGTCAAATTACTTTATTCCTAGTCTTGTTTGTCGAGTACCATTGCTACGACAATACCCAAAGTCTAGAATATCCATTTTATCGTTAAATTTTAAATGAGAGAGAGACAGAAATGGGGTTTAACGTCCAATCGACACAACTAGGTCATTTCGGGACTAACACATGGTTCAATTTTATTGCAAAATTTTAAATGGCAAAAGCGTTCAAATCCATTAAATATCCAAACCGCTCTTTGTCCATGAGAGCTGATTATGAGCTTGGCATGTGAATAAATGTCAAAATGATAATATCTATAATATTTGAAGCCAGAAAAAAGACCTGCAACAGGCAGCTTTCGTTCTCATATATAATATTCTTTTTTTTTTTAAGAAAAAAAAAGCCGACAACCGAACACGCAAAACATTGACGTAAACAATGTTTATAGTTTACTATGTAAAATAGTTTTTACGGCCTTGAAATATAACATATAAAACAAGTTATAAATCGTGAATTTATCAAATCAACAGCGTAAACACAATATTATATAACATGGTTAATACATCAAAAACAGACTACATGCAAGCAACGAAATTACGTAATATATTATCGTTAATATATCATGGTCTCACAGCAAAGATAGGTTGCCAGACAACGAAATACAATAAATAACATCGCTAACAAATCTACAGCAAATACACGTTGTCGGGCAACGAAACACGTTATATAATAACATTGTTAATAAATCAAGAACAATTAGTGTCTCACACTGTGTGGTCTCATAGCGAGTATAGGTTGCCAGACAACGAAACACATTATCTAAAAACGTTAATAAATCAACAACAGGCTCAATTTCACATTGTGTGGTCGCACAATATAGTTATAACAGGCTGGGTCTCACATTCTGTGGTCTCATAGTAAACAAGGGAGAGAGAGAGAGAGAGAGAGAGAGAGAGAGAGATTTGGTTAAACGTCCACAAGATACAGACTAGGTTATTTCGAGACTAACATCTGGTTCAATTTTATCTCAATAATTCGCTTGCGCGTAGGGGTGTTTAGCGGTGTGGGGGGGCCGGAGAGTACCGACCCTGTTCCTTGTCACGTACAAATGGGGAATCGAAACCACGCCAATGACACACCCTATGATACAGTGCGCACGTGCTAACCATTCGGTCATTCAACCCCCCCCCCCCCACTTGTCTCATAGCAAATAAAGGTTTCCAGACATTATATAACATCGTTTATAGGTCGATTCTGTGGTCTCATAGCAAATATAGGTTGCCAGACAGCGAAACAGCTTCAGCAAAATATAATCCTAATCATTTGCTAGAAATACGTTAACGCAAATCAAGTGTCGTCATATTAGACATTCTTCTTAATTGCTAAATATACATATTTAATTAAATATTGTGACAAAAGTAATGAGTAATTTCCGGTGAGGTGGCGACTCAGTGAGTATGGTGCAGACTCACAAAGGAAGGGTGTCTAGAGTTTCAGTGCGGACGAGAACACGAGGTACCAATTATATTGGCAGTACGATAAACATCGGTCGAGTCTAAATACTAAGGCCATCTGCAGATTTCGTCAAGCTCGCGAGCTGTAAATCAGAATAGAGCACGTGATTGTGGACGAGATTGTGGGTTAGGGCTAGGTCTAAGGTCAGGGTTAGCGATATAAGCCATTTTTACATCTCGTGACCTTGACGAAATCGGCAGTTGGTCTGAATATTTAGACCTAACCGATAAACATCCCCTGGCTGGTGAAATTCAAAATAAGAGTAGACGGTAGCGCTGCCATCATAGCAAAATATCCCCCACACACGCTCCGTGACTTATTCCGTTTCCATTAGCAACGTTGGTGCAGAAAAGTAAGACGTTGAACCCCCTTCCATTTTGTTTTATCATTACACAAACCATATAAGCACGATGACTTGACGATAGGATACATTTATCAAAAAAAAATTGTGTTAATCATTTATACCTACCCCGTAGATGTATTTATGGAACTAACTAGGTCTAATAAGATGGTAAAGGCGATAGGAAAGTTTCATTTAAAACATATTTATATCCAGTGATGTTTTGTTTATCAAGTTGCCTTTCCCAGCGTTTTATTTATGGAGGACAAACGTGTCGTTACGAAACTAACATACATTAATTATGATAAATATTTATTGCATTCACTGGGGGTCTTCAGTGATGGATTGCGAGTTGAGTTACAAATATTTTTTAAAAATATTTGTTGTTAACTATGTGCATTCAAGTGAGGAATGGTATCAATAAGCATATCATGGCTCGTGTATATACAAATATTCCAGAGCGATGGTTTGGAACTGATTTATGCCAACGTCCACAGACGGCCATACAACTATGAATCGAGTAGGCCATAGAGCAAAATTTCCATCATATATATAGGACACTGTAGGACCTTTGGGGGTTTTAACGTCCACTCGACAAAAACTAGGTCATTTCGGGGCTGACATATGGTTCAATTTGCGTTCAACTAAGACGTTAGACCGCATTCAGTAGGTTATTTGTGAAGCTGATGTCTGCGTTCGTTCGTAGGGGCCGAATGGTTAGCGCGTGCACGCTGTATCATAAGGTCCGTCATTGAGTCAACTGGCGTGGTTTCGTTTCCCCAATTGTACGTGACCAACTTCTTGGGTTTTCACTGGGTCCTCCGGTTTTCTCCAACTGCTAAAGACCCCGACGCGCAAGCGACTTATTGAAATAAAATTGAACCATATGTTAGTCCTGAAATGACCTAGTTCGTATCGAGTGGACCTCTCTCTCTCTCCCTCTCTATCTCTCGTTCGTTCGTTCGTTCGTTCGTTCGTTCTTGGGGTTTAACGTCCGCTTTCAACGAAGGTAATATAGCAGACAAACTAGTTGTGGTGGAGCCTCTTTAAGTTGTTCACTCTATGTAACAGGCCATTTAGCCCCGAGAAACAAGCAGTGGTAATGAGAATTTTGAACCATAACAAATGTAATTTTTTAATGTATGGTGTAAAGGTTGAAGATTGTAAATGATATAACCACATGTATAATAACTTAACCGCGGGACCTCAACATTAATACCTTCTTTCATTTAAACAAAAATGCAATATTTTTCCCCTGGTAGTTTAAAGATAATGACTGTGTGTGCTAATACTCGTAATGGATTTCATGTCGAGGAGAGAGAGAGAGGGAGAGAAAGAGAGAGAGAGAAATGGGGTTTAACATCCACTCGACACAAACTAGGTCATTTCGGGACTAACACATGGTTTAATTTTATTTCAATAATTCGCCTGCGCGTGGGGCCTTTAGCAGTGGGAGGAAATCGGAGGACCCGGAGAAGACTCACGAGGTTGGACAGGCGACCCTACTCCTTGTCACGTACAACCGGGGATTCGAAACCACGCCAGTCGACTCAATGACAGACTTTATGATAAAGCGCGCACACGCTAACCATTCAGCCACCACCACCCCCCGCCCCTCCTCATGTCGAGGTACAAATATATGCATGAAGCGAGGAATGGTATCAATAAGCATATCCTGTCTCGTTCAATATTTTCCCCGTAGTAGTTTAAAGATCTGGGGCCTGTTCCACGAAATTGTAACTAAAATAAAATCCAAATTTTAGTAATTGATTGGATAATATTAAATTGATTTTAGTGCTTAGCCAATCAAAATTGAAGTATCTACTAAAATTTTGATTTTTATCTTTAGTTAAGATTTCGTGGAACAGGGTCCAGGCTGAGTGTGCGAATACAATATACAGAGAGAGAGAGAGAGAGAGAGAGAGAGAGAGAGAGATGGGGTTTAACGTCCACTCGACACAAACTAGGTCATTTCGGGACTAACATATGGTTTAATTTTATCTAAATAATTCGCTTGCGCGTAGGGGTCTTTAGCAGTGGGAGGAAACCGGAGGACCCGGATAAAACCCACGAGGTTGGACAGCGACCCTACTCCTTGTCACGTACAACCGGTGAATCGAACCCTGCCAGTTCACTCAATGGCAGACTTTATGATACAGCGCGCACGTGCTAACCATTCAGCCATCCAAGCCCCCGGTTCAAATATTCAAAGTATAAGACTGTGGTATATGACCGATTAGATAGCCAACCAGTCCCTTTCTCGTTGCTACATTTTAGATCTAAATGGCTAAAAACACATCAAAACAAGTACGATCGTACCGTGGACCAAGAACTGATCATGTTGTTGGAGGAAATTTAAAAGCTTAATTCACCAAATCGATG